CAGACACCCAAAGAAGAGCTGGTATCATTCCTTCTGAAACTCTTCCAACTCTTCCAAACAATCCAAAAAGAGGGAATCCTTCCCAAATCATTTTATGAGACCAACATCATCCTGATACCAAAACCCGGCAGAGACTCAACAACAAAAGAAAACTTCAGACCAATATCCATGATGAACATAGATGCAAAAATCTTCAATAAAATACTGGCAAACTGATTGCAACAGCACATCAAAAAGCTTATCAATCACTATCAAATAGGCTTCATCCCAGTTATGCAAGGCTGGTTCAACATACGCAGGTCTATAAACACAATCCATCACATAAACAGAACCAAAGACAAAAACCACGATTGTATCAATAGATGCAGAGAAGACCTTTGACAAAATTCATCAGCCTTTATGCTAAAAACTCTCAGTAAAATAGGTATTGATGGAATGTATCTCAAAATAATAAAAGCTATTTATAACAAACCCATAGCCAATATCATACTGAATGGGCAAAAATTGGAAGCATTCCCTTTGAAATCTGGCACTAGACATGGATGCCCTCTCTCACCACTTCTAGGCAATATAGTATTAGAAGTTCTAGCCAGAGCAATCAGGCAAGAAAAAGAAATAAAGGGTATTCAATAGGAAAAGAGGGAGTCAAATTGTCTCTATTTGCAGACAACATGATTATATATTTAGAAGACCCCATCATCTCAGCCCAAAATCTCCTTCAGCAACTTCAGCAAAGTCTCAGGATACAAAACCAATGTGCAGAAATCAAAGCATTCCTGTACACCAATAACAGACTAACAGAGAGCCAAATCATAAGTGAACTCCCATTCACAATTGCTACAAAGAGAATAAAATACCTAAAAATACAACTAACAAAGGATGTAAAGGATCTCTTCAAGGAGAACTACAAACCACTGCTCAACAAAATAGGAGAGGACACAAACAGATGGAGAAACATTCCATGCCCACGGTTAGGAAGAATCAGAATCAAAATGGTCGTACTGCCAAAAGTAATTTATAGATTCAACGCTATCCCATCAAGCTACCAATGACCTTCTTCACAGAACTGGAAAAAACCACCTTAAACTGCATATGGAGCCAAAAGAGAGCCCACATAGTCAATACAATCTTAAGTAAAAAGAACAAAGCTAGAGGCATCACGCTACCTGACTTCAAACTATACTACAAGGCTACAGTAATCGAAACAGCATGGTACTGGTACCAAAACAGAGATACAGACCAATGGAACAGAACAGAGGCCTTGGAGGCAATGCCACACATCTACAACCATCTGATTTTTGACAGATCTGACAAAAACAAGCAATGGGAAAATGATTCCCTGTTTAATAAATGGTGTTGGGAAAACTGGCTAGCCATGTGCAGAAAGCAGAAACTGGACCCCTTCCTGACACCTCACACTAAAATTAACTCCAAATGGATTAAAGACTTAAACATAAGACCTAACACCATGAAAATCCTAGAAGAAAACCTTGGCAAAACCATTCAGGACATAGGAATAGGCAAGGACTGAATGGCTAAAACACCAAAAGCATTAGCAGCAAAAGCCAAAATAGATAAATGGGTTCTAATTAAGCTCCAGCACTTCTGTACAGTGAAAGAAACAATCATTAGATTGAACCAGCAACCAACAGAATGGGAAAAGAATTTTGCAATCTATCCATCTGACAAGGAGCTAATATCCAGAATCTACAAAGAACTAAAATAGATTTACAAGAAAAAAACAAGCAACCCCATTCAAAAGTGGGTGAAGGATATGAACAGACACTTTTCAAAAGAAGACATATATGAGGCCAACAAACATATGAAAAAATGCTCATCATCACTGGTCATTAGAGAAATGCAAATCAAAACCACATTGAGATACCATCTCACACCAGTTAGAATGGTGATCATTAAAGAATCTGAAGACAACAGATATTTTAGAGGATGTGGAGAAATAGGAACACTTTACACTGTTGGCGGGAGTATAAATTAGTTCAACCACTGTGGAAGACAGTGTGGCGATTCCTCAAGGACCTAGAAATAGGACCTAGAAATAGGTCCATTTGACCCAGTAATCCCATTACTGGGTATATATCCAGAGGAATGTAAGTCATTCTATTATAAAGACACATGCACATGTATGTTCATTGAGGCACTGTTTACAATAACAAAGACCTGGAACCAACCCAAATGCCCATCAATGATAGACTGGTCAAGGAAAATGTGGCACATATACACCATGGAATCCTATGCAGTCATAAAAAACGATGAGTTTGTGTCGTTTGTAGGGACTTGGATGAATCTGGAAATCATCATTCTCAGCAAACTGACACAAGAACAGAAAACCAAACATTGCATGTTCTCACTCATAGAGGTGTTAAACAATGAGAACCCATGTACACAGGGAGGGGAGCATCACACACTGAGGTCTGTTGGGTGGACTAGGGGAGGGACAGCGGGGGATAGGGAGGTTGGGGAGGGATAACATGGGGAGAAATGCCAGATATAGGTGATGGCGTGGAGGCAGCAAACCACATTGCCATGTATGTACCTATGCAACAATCCTGCATAATCTGCACATGTACCCCTGAATCTAATAATCTGTACATGTACCCCTGAATCTAAAGTGCAACTATACACACACACACACACACACACACACACACACACATATAATGAATTAATCTTCACAAAAAAAAGAGATTAAAAATGATGGCAGGAAGTGAATCACCCTGAAACTTCACTATTCCTTCTGAATTGTGGATTCTTCCAGCCGTAACTGATACTTTTAGGTCTGCTTTGCAGATTGAAACCATTTTACAATGAACTCCTTTTGAAACTGCAGAAATTCCTCTTGGACAAAGTCTGAAAGTGAATTTTTCTCTGTGTCAAATAACAGGAGAAAAAGTCTCTGCGTCATTGTAGAAGAAAGAGCTGAATGGCCACAGACCTGCATAAATATTTATTAAAGTGGCGATAACCCCTCATATGCATTTTTTCAGCAGTCTAACATTATAAAACTTAAAATGCCCAATACTTAGCCCCCTCACACATAACTTTGTTCTTAGCATTTTCAGCGGAACCTACAAGAGCTACATGGCTGATTCTGAAGAGTCATAGTTTTTCTTCAATGAAGTGCTTTTAGGGATCTAAACATAAATTGCTGCCACACAGAGTAGTGAAGGGAATTGTAAAGCATTTACATTTCACCATTCATGACTGTTATGCCTCTCTCAGAATAGACAGTTGGGAAATGATTGAATGCAACAAGAAATGGCCAAGCCACACCACATCCTCCACTTGTATTTAAGGATTAAGGCCTCCTACTCTGTGACATCATTGTTGCCACTACAAACAGAACCATCTGCCATCGAGTGGGGAAGCCAGTCATTCCCTAATGTGCAAAAATACTTGGTTGAACTCCTGAAACTTATTTGGTAGATCAAAAGCTGCACTGCTGAGGAATGCAATAAACTCCATCTGTTTGAGGTATTTTCAGCAATATTGCATTTTTTTCGGAGAACCAGGGTCCCATTATTCTCTAAAATAGACTTTTACTCCCGATAAAATTCCCAGTGGGGATCTTTATTGCCTTATTGAACAGTTGGCATCATTTTTAAAAAGGACTCTTTTTTTCCCCCTTCATTCATTCTCATGCCATTATTTATGTCTCAGAAAAGCCAGTGTGTTAACGGTTATATCATGGCAAGTCATAATGCCAAGAAGCTTCTCTTCACTATTTTATCAGTGTCTTTAAATTTCTGTTTTCTTTATTAAATACGATGGTCCCTGGATTAGGCATTTCCCTGGAGTCACCAATTGGCATTGTTTTCCAGAAAACATACTCTCGTGGGATCATTGCCTCACCACTCTCCAGAAAATATCTGTATATATTATTTCCCCCTCCGCATCCTCAACTTAAATTAAATGCCAGATCTGCAGCCTGACCTGTGATTCCGCCCTGTTCTAGGTTTCCACAGATGCACACACTTTACTCACAGCTCTCTTCAACCCTGTGTCTCAGCGAGAAATTCCTTCTGGGCCCCTTGTGAGAAAAGTTCAGATCTGTTCCCGGCCCGTACGTCTCCCCCACAGAATCTGACCTTGTGAGGACTTGGGCTGCCCCGGGAGTAATGAATCACCGCCTTATTTTTTTAGGCCATATGTGAGTTAAATTGTTTGATATAAATCATACTCTAGCAGCTCAGGGTTGAAACAGGAGAGCCATTTGCCCTGCCGCCTGCTGCTGGCGGTTCTGCGTCTTTACCCAGAGTGTCGCTTTTAGAAATGACTACATTTTTGTGACTAACCCTTCCAGACCCATTTCTTGAGTGCGGACTAGTGTTTGTTTTGGCAGCATCCCCACTATACAGTCCTTGCTTCCCATGCCAACCTAAGGCAAGACTCATAATTTACAAAATAAAGGAACGGTCCAGATGGAGGTCTGCTTACCCTGTCTCCCCAGAACCACCCACTCCTTTCCTCTGCTCTTTCCTTCTTTTTTTTTCCACCTTCTTTGAAACCAAGGATGCAGTGTTTGTTTAAAAATGCACTGGCTGATGAAATTTTCCACTGCTTGGCATGTTGGAGGAGGAGCTGTCAGGAAAGGGCAAGCCGGCACACGAAATGCTCTGCCTTTCATGCTAACAGTTCAGTTATTACTGATTCAAACCAATTCCTTCTGGCCACGTTCCCATATCCCAAGTATTCCAAATAGAAAGAAAGGGGGGAACTGTCATAATTTTCTGCTGTTATAAATGTATCATTTCATGTAACCTACGTGGATTCTCTGACTTGTCCATGAGTTCTGGATGCTGTATGTATATGTATGAGATGTCAGTGAATAAATTATTTGTTTTGATTTTGCTCTAGCAAGAAAAGCCTCATCATTTTGTTTTTTATATCCAGAGAAGGTAGTAGAAAAAAACCCTCATAATTTTAAAACAAATTTCTGTTTAACATATTTTTCCTTCTTTTCCTTGCGGCTATATGCACAGGGGAACAACAAAGTAAGTTCTTTGTCCTCTTGCAGCTTTTCTGTCCCCTCAGCCCCTGCTCCGCTCCTGCATGTCTTGGCAAGAGTGTTCCTGTGCATGCTGGAATGACTGTCTTCTGTTACAGTGCATGAATTATATGGAGTGTGCAAATCTGGGGGGAAATGCGCATTTGCTCTACCGTGATGGCTGTTCTGTTTTGACTTTTTGGAAGGGAAACATTCTATCCTTCAGGCTTGGTTGTTGGCTAGTTCAGAGAGGTTGATAGTATAAGGAAAGAGCTCCCACAATGAGAGCAGATTTTGAAGATTTAATAATGAGGACTCTTCTGCAGAAAGGTATGGCAATCTGATGAAATTCAGTGCAGCTGAAGTTTTTGACTAAAAATCAAAGCTCTTATGTTAATGTGCAGTTACAAAAAACCCAAACTGGAGTCTTAAATAGCAGTATGGCTGGCTTTGTTGAAGAAACTGAACTAGATCAGTGTTCTGGCTTTGAAAGTACCTTAAAATGGATGGAGGAGGGTGGGGTCAACATTTCACTGGGCTTCTGTGCCCTTGATGTCTTCCAGCTGGATGGAAGCAGGAGGGTATGCAGAATGCAGGGGGGTGGCCAAAATGTGTATGATAGATTTGTGAAACCAGGCAATACACAGGAATGGTGGAAATTATTTTAATGTTGTTGTTATAATAGATCGACGAGCAATTTAACAGTTCATATGGTTGCTAGTTTGTTTAAATTTTAATTCAACTTTTCCAAAAGATTAGAACTATTTCTCACTTATATTAGAAATATAAGAGTAATGTAGTTTGAGAAGATAGCCTTATGTTTAGCTGGGTTATTTGTTATTTTTTTCTGTGGAGATATATTAGTGCTTCATCCTACCAGGTGGCCCACTTAAAATGGGCCTCACTGAACACAATAAGAATTGAAAAGAATCTGGTATATAAGAGTTGGCCGGCATATTCAAACCAGCTGGAATTCATCAAAATTGCTGTTCATAAGCCATACATATAGAATGTAAAACAAATGTGGGAAATCTTTTGCAGTTTAATTTGATGGAATGTGCTATTATGGAATAAGCTGACATAGATGGTTGGTATTGAAAATGTGTCACTTTATAAATTTATAGCTTGATATAACTGCTTATGACCCAAGTAATAATATTTAATAAACTTAAAGTATTACCAGAAAAGCACAAGACAGGCATTTGTGAAGGAGTAAAGAGGTGAACTCAGCCCATGTATAGTATGCTTTTTAAAAACAGCAGGTAACTTTTGAAATTGATTAAAGATTTCTTCCACAAAGTAATGGCTAATATTTATAACTAATGCTACCACTCTTTGAAAAGACATTTGGAAAAAATATAAAAACCCATATTTTTAGTTCTTATGCCATAAAATATATTTCAATTTTTGAATAATAAGTATGTTTAATCCTGGTCACTTGCATTGCACTGAGTCTCTGTTCGAAATTTCTTGTGTTACATTTCTTATTTGCAAGCAAAACAAAACAAAACTTTAAAAAGTATCCTGGACTAATTGTGAGTGCACAAATAGGGAGCCTGTGCATGCTGACGATCAGGGAGCCGGCTGCTGACATTTTGGGGAGGTGCTAATTCTCAGACCACTCAAGAAGCCTTTAGGATTTCTCTCTTTCACTAGTGGATTCACTGATGAGTTAAGACATTTGTAAAACTCACCCCCCTCAAAAAAAAAAAAAAAAAAGAAATCTACTTCTCCTTAGCAGAAGCCATCCATTTTGTTGTGTCCTGTTTGATTAAGTTCTTCTGGATTAAAAAAAATATATTCACTTTAATACAGTTTACTGATTTTCAAGTCACTCAATACTGTGAGAAAATTCAAAAATTTAAAATTATGGGTCTTTAACGGTCTCCCTAGGATAATGCAGAAGGCCCTTCAGGATCTCCAGATTCCCTCAGTCAGCAACTGTATCAGAACACTTTCGCATGTGCTATGGGACAGCTTTGGTGCTGGTTGAGAGTGAGTGTTAGTTGAAGAGTATCAAAGATGCAAGCACTTACTGTTTTGATTTTGAATTAAAGAGTGAGCACTTTGGAGGTGCTGGTATTTATTGCCCCATGCCTTATTTTTAATTGCTTGTTATGAATAAGTGATAGTTTATGGAAAATACAATGCTTATACTTCTTGACTATGATCATTATACTGACCATAGACTCTGACACACACACACACACACACACACACACACACAACCTCCTCAAATCACAAACAGCACATCTGCATGTTATTTTCCTGTAGCTTAGAATTTCAGTATAAATGGAAAACACTGGAATACAAGCTGTGCTGTCTCCGGAGTATAGATCTGGATTCTTCAAAAAGAGAATATGAGATTCCTTTTTTCCTCCCAGGCTGGAATGCTTGTTCTGAGTTGTCCCCAAGGCCACATACCTGACTTGTTGCCTGCCATATACGTGAGCCAGCTGTAAAGTGTGACTCATTTTAGACTCGCAAAGGCTGTTTATCTAGTGCATAGCATTTTATTATTTATGATATTAACCAACTAAAGAAAATGAAGTCTGCTCAAATTAATGTTTCATTAGATGAGCAGAATAGATTCATCTTTCCACATACATTAAGTGTAGTGCAAACACATGTGCACATATACATATAACCTGGGGTATATGGAACAATCATGTTATTTGTTTTCTCAATGACAGCCAAATTGATCTACTTCATCCATCTTTAGACTATATTTAAAGTTTGGGAGCTAATCCTCTAAACTCAGAGAAATTTAACTTTTACAATAGATATGCATTTAGATTCATATTATGAATACGTGATGAAACAAGCATCAATAAACATTCACATTCCTCCTGCACAATCATATGTATGTTGTTATTTCTCCTTAAAAAGCAAATTTTCCTTTTGTAAGGAGATTATAGTTGCTCAGAAAAAATTTTCCTTTCAGGCTATTACTTATTTTTCCCTTTGAAAATGTTTTCCTGTTGGCATAGTGATTTCCTAAATTGCTCAGGGTAGACTCTATCTCCTCCTAAGATGGGTTTCCCTGGACCACAGATTCCAAGTCAATGTCTTCATTAGAAAGACCAGAATCCAGGACACCCTGAGTCAGTTCTGGGAATGTGAACAAATATATACAGAAACAGGGAGGTTATTTTGTTTTTTAAACTTGTTTTTTGAATACAAATGTAAATCAGAATCTTATTTTTGGAATGGAGACCTTAGGTAAAAAATTAATCTCCATGTTGTGTCTAGAGACAAGTCATTTGATTTCCTTCTTGAATGTGATGGCTTCTCTTGGTGAACAAATTTAGAAATTTAATAGACTTTTAATTTTGTTTTTTATTAAATACCTTCAGTTAAATATTTTTGATATTAAATTATGCAAGTTAAAGGTAGAGAAAATCTTAACATGTAAGGAATACAAATATACCAAAAGCTGTAAAATTTCTTAATGATGTTGGTATAGATACACAAATGAAAATTAAATGGAATCCTAGATTGAGAAATCAATGTTTCAAAAAGTTTTAGGTTACAAGGAAAAGCCACATTTAGCCTCTTCCCTTATGAATCTTTGGTTGCTTTTAAAAGAGAAACTTATAATCACTTAACGTCAGGATTGTTAAACTAAAGGACTCTTATGTTTTCCCCCACAGAATTTAAGGGTGACTATATTGCTTAGAGAGAAGGTTCATTTTAAAGGAGAAATAGAATAGAAACATGCTAAAACAGGACTTTAAAATTGCTGTTTTAATTAAATTCTAGTTAGTTTTAAAGCAAACATTTTATACATATTAGAGGGCCTTGATATTTAAGAAAAGAAGAATGAAAGGAAACTCAGATGAAAAACTGCTTTTACAGCATTTAAGAAACACTTTGTCTAGTGATGTCCTAACACAGTCAGCAAGGCCAGTGGACAAGGTTGGCCCCCATTTGTAGGAAAAGTAGTTATCACTGGGAGTGATTATTTTGGTAATCCATTGGATTCTAGCACTCATTTGCAAAGATAGAATTTGCCAAATCAAATGGCATCAAAGTATATATATTGAAGAGCACAGATGTTAAATCCATATTGATTGGTTGTGCCTTTTTACACCAGCCCTCCAGCTCCTTTGTCCTTGATCCTATGTGAGAGAAAATGGATAGCCATTGAAAACTCATCTTCATAATGTGAAAATATCTTTCTGATAATGGGTGTTATAATCATGATGAATGAAAGGAGCAGGGAGTGTACAGTGTCATAATGTACATTTCCTTTGTATTATTTAAATGCATGATCAAAACTAAGAACATTTAAACAATTTAGGTATGGTCAGCTAAGTTATTTTATTTGAATAATGTATGTGCTTTCCCTGATTTTCTTAGAAAAGCTTAGCAAATACATGCCCTGGGATTTAAGGAGCCCCTAACCCCCAATCTGTTTGACTAAATTTATGCATAACCCAATAAGGACATCATCAGAGTTAAAAGAAAGGATGAAAATTCACTAGCCTCAAAGTGTTATTTTAGTTTCATGTGAATATAAAAACAAGTTGTCTCTCAATCATTGCATCACCAGTAAACTTGTGCTTCTTTTTTTGGCAAATCAGCCTTAAAAGAGCATTGTTCAAGCCTCATTTTTGAAACCTCTCACTTTAATAGTAACCTGTTGGGGAAAGGAACAGTTTAAAAACTTCTAGAAGTAGAAGCCTTCTATTTCTAGAAGTTTAGAAAACTTCTAGAATCAAATTGGAATCTATATTATGTTCCCAAATTCATTGATCATGCTAAATAGATTCTCTAGAGAAGTAAGAATGGATCTGCTGCTGCTTAGAAAGCTTATAGTAGATGATAGTATAGGAATTTCCTAAGGGTCATTAGGGCTTGTTTATATATTTTTATTTTCTCTGTTGGGTCCAAAATGAAGTGACTTCTCTCTAGTTAGTAGGTAATAATGTGTAGGACTTCATAGCTATTTTGACATATTTGCTCTCACATATTGTAGTGTACACATCACAATATTGTAGACAT